AGCTCAGCTCAGCTCAGCTCAGCACTGGGCAGCACAGCACAGGACAGCTCAGCTCAGCTCAGCTCAGCACACAGCACAGCACACAGTTTAGTTCAGTTCAGCTCAGCATAGGACAGCTCATAGCTCAGCTTAGCACAGCTCAGCACAGGGCAGCGCAGGACAGTGCAGGGCAGCTCATAGCACAGCAGAGGACAGTTCACAGCTCAGCTCAGCACAGGGCAGCTCAGCTCAGCGCAGGGCAGCACAGGGCAGCACAGGGCAGCACAGGGCAGCGCAGGGCAGCACAGGGCAGCATGGCCCGGCCCGGGGCTGCTGTAGCTCCAGCTGGGTGGGGGTGGAGATGCAGGGACCTCAGCCCCAGGCCCAGGCAAGTGCTCCCCGCCTCTTCTGCACCTCTACCAGGCCCTGCAACTGCTGAGAACTATGGGCCCTTTCCCTAAGAGAAATGTGGCCGGGACTGTGGGGCAGGGACCAGCCTGGGCTGCATACAGAGAGCCTGTCTCAAAGAAACTAAGCAGCCCCTAGCCCTAAACAGGATGCAGCGATGAAGCTGCGCCGCAGACAGGAGACTCGGCACACGTGAGGGCTCACGGCTCCTGCTCCGGGCTCTGCCCTGAGTCCTGTCCTGCCTCCTTTCACTGAGGGGCCACGCTGTGGAAGTGCATCAATCGAGCCTTTCCTCCTGGCTTGCTTCTGTCTTGGTTTGTCTCCGCAACAGTCACCCTAACTGCAACCACACCCCTATTCTGAGTCTCCCCCCGTGTTCCCGAGAACCTCCAGTGCCTATCCGTGCCCTCCGCGCTCCTCGGTGTCAAGGGAGAGGAGGCTAACCAACAGCGTGGGCTCAGGGTCAGTGGGGTCCCAGCTCCTTAGGGGGCAGTGGGGAGAGCCTGCTGCAAGGTGTGTGACCACGTGCGTGTGGCAGAGAGAAGCACGAGGGCATCGGGCTGGGGCGCAGGCCGTGGCGACCCGGGGACTCACACGACGACTCACTTGTCCCACTTGTACTGGAGAGCTTGTTTCTAGGAGGCTCAGCACACCTGTGCCCAGTGTCAGGTGAGGGTCTTAAGGCCCTGTCCTCTCTGTCCCCCCCTGGCTGCCCCGTGCAGGCAGGAGGCCTCATAGCACGCGTGCAGAGGGCACAGGAGGCTGCTGCACCTGCTCTTCCGGATGGCGTTCCTGACTCCTGAGCACTGGTCACCTAATGGCCTGGCCTGGGCTGGCTCCTCCCCCTCAGGACCCCCGAGGGCTGGAGAACATGGCCGCTTCCCCGGAGCCCCAGGTTCAACTCTAGCACCACATGGAGCTTCCCGCCGCCTCAGGAGCCGAAGCCTTCTCCTGGCCTCTGGTGGGCAGCAAGCACACAAGCAGTATGTACACACACACACACACAGGCACAATCAACATAAAAATGAGCTGACTCTCCTTAAACTCGGAGGAGCTGGCTGGCCCAGCCCACCAGCTGGGAGCTGGCACAAGCCCGAGGCTGCCGTGCCGAGACCAAGCGGCCTCCTCCGCCTGCCTCCAGCTGGGTACGAGGCCCAGCTGGTCCTTGCTCACCCTGCCCTGTGCAGGTGAGCCCCGGGAGAAGACACTTGGAACCTTCCGTTACAACACCCAGCCTGTCCTCCCCGAGGCCACCGTGCCCTGGTGCACTCCAGCCCTGTCCTGCCCTCACCTCTGGTCTTCCTCTGGCGTGTTTGCTGACAGCAGCGACATGACCATGGACTTGCCTGTCCCCTGGAGGCCCAGGACACCGACCACCAGCACGTCAGTCTGATCCAGCAGGTACTGGGAGGAAGCGGGTGGGGTTGGGGAGAGGGACCATGAGCCTCACAGCCTGGCAGAGCTGGCAGGGGCAGAGCCAGGCCCCCAGCGGGCTCCACAGCCCCTGATCAGTCCCTCTCCCCTGCAGCAGGTTTGTGGGGTCTGGGAAGGCCGAGTGAGCAGAGCCTGATGTGGCTGAGAAGGGATCTACAGGCACCCATGCTGACCACACAGGGCCGCACCAGCCCACTGGGAAGCTAAGCCCTGTAAGGCCTGGTCGGCACGGGACAGGAAAACGCAGGAGCGGGGCCTGATGACCAGTGGCTTCCCGGGAGGAGTGGAGAGGCAGGCAGACAGGCCGAAGCCTGGTCCAGGAAGGAGCAGAGAGGCAGACAAGATGCAGCCCGGTTGGCTCCAGGAAGGAGCAGACAGCCTGGTCAGCTCCAGGCAGCCTCAGGCGAGTGAAGAGACCAGAGCAAGCAACTGCCTCTACCAGAGCTCTGCTTCTGGACCCAGCTCTGCTAATCTTCGCCACCAGGGGGCAGAAGAGCCTCTGCCAAAGGCCAAGTGCTCTGCTGGCAGGTCCCCGGGACCAGAGGGACTTGGAAAAACCACACTTGGGACCCTGCCAGCTCTGCACCTTGCAGCCAAACTACCCAGGGCTGGGTGTTCCTTGACAGTTGTCTTCAGTCCTATGGTTATGTCAGGGACTCAGCAGCCCGCACAGGGAGGAGGCAGCTATGCCAGGCAATTCCAAAGAGCGGCTTTCTCCTTGCAGAAAGGGCCACCCACGGCGGAGCAAGCCAGCATGGCTCACTCACTCACGGGCTCAGGCTACGGGGCGGAGGGGGCGGCCCTTCGAGAGCGTGCACACTGGAGGAAGAACGGAGGCACAGATGTGTGGGCCCAGCCACAGGAAGCTCTAGCTAGAGCAGGGGCCTCTGGGAAGGAGCCTCAGGCTGTCGACAGCATGGGCCAGGCCCTTTCTCTGCAGTGCCAAGGCGCAGGGGTTCTGGGGTACAGAGTAGCAGGGTGTCCACCAAGAGACATCAGAGCATGTTAAGGCCTAAAGCAGCCTGGGGTCACAGGCTGCCATCCAAGCCACTCAGGAAGCTGAGGAAGATGACAGCTCAAGGGTAGCTCAGGCAACTTAGTCAGACCCCGCTTCCAAACCAAGAATAAAAAATAGGCTGGGGCTGCAGTTCAAACAGAGCTGCCGAGCATGCCTGAGGCCCTGGTTCAAAGCCCAGCGCTCTTCCACCAACATCAACACACCAAGACTTTCAACGATCAGCCTGTAAGCTGATAAATTCAGGCCTGGTTGACTCGGATTCCCTGCCGGTCCTGAGGGCTGCACTGGATGGACAGGGGGACGTGACCCGGGCGGCCGTACCTCAATAGCGCTGTCACACCAGTTCATCTGGTCGTCCACCAGCTTGATGCTGTGCTTCATGCGCTCCGGGGGCAGGAGCTTGGCCTGGCCCACCACAGCTAGATGGGAAGCGGAGACAGAGGACGGTGAGGGGCCGAGTGACCAGGAGCTGGTGCCCTGCCCACCCCGGGGGTCCACTCACGGTCCATGGCGGTTGGCGTGGCAGTGCCCATGCCCCGGTTCTGAATCTGGTACACAGGCTGCGTGGGCCTCTGTCCCTCCTTCTCTCCTTTGGGAGGCGTGGCGGCCGTGGGGGGCGATGGGGTGGTGCCCTCAGGGGTGGTGGACCCTGTGCCAGCCGCAGGCCCCTTGCCTTCCTCTCGAGGCTTCATGAGCACAATGGGCTTCTCCAGCGTGGCCGGGGCCGGCGGAGGGGCCGGGGCGGTGCTCGGCGGCGGCTGCTTTGACTGTGAGAGTAAGAAGGCTGCAGGCCACCGGGGAGAGCTCCCGCCGCCCTCCTCTGCCTTCCTCCTGAGGCCTCGACACTCACCCGCTCAGCTGGAGGCTTCGAGAGGATGATGGGGGTCTTCTGCATGACGTTAGTGCTGGGGTCCTCGCTGCCGTCCTGGGGGCGAGATGCGCTCTGTCACCCTCCCCAGGAGACTCCGAAACCCACACAGAATGTGGCCAAGCCCAGAGCCAGCCTGAGCCATCGGAACCACTGCCGACAGCCTCCTTGGTTAGAGCAGCCTCATGAGGAGTGAGGGCCTGGAGCTTTGTAGCGGAGCTGGAACACCTCAGCAGCAAGCTGGTACCCCAATTAAGAGCCATACACCCCTCAATTGCGGGGGTGGGGCAGGAGCGCCGTCCTCACAGGACTAGCTCAGGGCAGAGGGACCCCTGACACGTAGCAGGTGCCTGCTCTGCGACAGCCACTCCTGCAGGCCAGCGCTGAGACCACTCACCCGTCTCTCTCTCTCCCAGGGCGCAATGTAGTCTCTCTCCCGACCGCCAGGCCCAGAGAGGTTCTGAGGGCCACTGGCGCCAGGTTCCTTCCACCGGCGCCGCCGCTCCGCCCCGTAGAGCCCAGGCTGGCTGTGCCCGGACTCCGACATGGTCGCCTGGAGGGGACACGCAGCCACTGTCAGAGTACACCCCTCAGGGCCCACCCCGGAGGGCAGCTCCTCAACAGGAGCTCTGACGCCAGCCCCATGGCAAAGGTTCTCCCCACCCAGACGGCAACCTAAACCCTATCCCAGATAGCAGGAGAGAACAGCCTACACACACGCACGCACACACACACACACTTTCTCTCTCTCTCTCTCACACACACACACACACTTTCTCTCTCTCTCTCACACACACACACACACTCACGCACACACACACACACACTTTCTCTCTCTCTCTCTCACACACACACACACACTTTCTCTCTCTCACACACACACGCGCGCACACACACACACACTTTCTCTCTCTCTCTCTCTCTCTCTCACACACACACACACTTGCGCACACACACGCAATGCTCCAGCCTCCACAGACAGCTCATTCCACCCACGCACCCTTGCACAGAAACCTTAAAAACAACAAACCGACCCCACAAGCAGAGCAGAGGCTTAAGAGATGGCTCAGCTGAGTACACACTGCCCTAGCAGAGGGCGCAACAGTCACACGGACAGCTCCCAATGGCCTCTAGGGACTCAGCGCCCTCTTACGGCTTCCTTGGGTACTGCACCCATGTACTCACAACCACACACACACACACACACACACACACACACACACAACTCCAAAGGGCGCTCTGCGGCTGATGCACAGCGGCCCTCGAGGTCCCGACTTCTTCCGCCTTGTTAACTCAGCATTCAGAACACACTGCTCGGCTTCTCTGCAGTTAGATGTGGCAAGGGAAACATGGCCTGGGAGCATTCCCAAGCGCCCCTTCACAGAATGGGGTGCCTGCCCTGGCCTCTTCCTCCTCCTGGCTGACGGGAATGTGGGTGGGAGCTCAGGCAGCCCCCTGACCTCTAAGGCCACTCCATGGAAAGCACGGTGAAACAGGAGAGTGTGGGTGGTCCTGTGGGGACCTGGGCTGCCTACCCAGAAGGCAGTGGGGAATGACCCACCTCTCGTCGTTGGGGTAGAACGATCTGCAGCTGCTGACATGTCCCAGCACACACAGTTTACAGGTGCAGGGCCACATAAGATGGGCCCAAATGCAACAGGCCATCGTCCTGAGTCCGTAACAGAGCCCCCAGCTGAGGGGCCCATGGTCACCCATCTGTGTGCGTGGTGACGGTGATGGTGGGGGGGGGGGGTTTAACCACCTGGTCCCACTGGGTCCTGAGCACGTGCCTTCAGCTCCCCTCCCCCCCTGAGGTCTCCCCAGCATCTAATCCTCACGTTCTGGAACGGAGGCGGCACGACAGTCTGCACCTGTGCCTCCGCTGCTGGGCCGGGACTGCTGCTCAGGGCCCTAACCTAGAATGTGCCCTAGGGGCAGCCCTGAGAGCTCAGCTGCCCCAGGACAGTGTGTGGCTGCCTGCTGTGGCCCCAGAGGTCAGGCTGGCAGGCTATGGCCTGCAGTCTCTGCTGTCCCGCACTCGAGGGCTCACTGACGCCTGGCAGAAGCTGGAGGGCGGGCAGTGTGCCCCTAGGACCCACAAGCATGGCGTCTGGCCCACACACCGAGTTCCCTCAGAACCCTCTGCGTGCCCACCTCAGGCCTCAATGACATCAGCAGGCTCCCGTGACACACTCTACAACTGATGGGGCAATTTTGCTAGCCACCGGGGCCTGTGCGGCGCCTCTCGGGCCCAAGTGACCTGTGCCCAGCCACAGACCGGACTGACGGAGGAGGGCAGCTGCTGGCAGATGCCTGCGGCAGTGAGTCAGGCCCTAAATGACTGTTTACTGTCTGCGGCCCTCTCCCGGACCCCGCAATCAACCATCCGTCCCTATTATTCTGGAAACCGCCCCCGTGCCTACGAGCGAGATTCCCTGTCCCTACAGGGATCCTGTGCTCACACTGAAGTGTCTGCTCACTGTGACCCTCCACCCCCCGGCAAGTGTCCCTGTGCACACTGCTCTGGAGTCTGTTTTAGTCTACTCAGCTCTTGGAGCAATCCAGACCTGGGAGGCCAGCCCCCGCCGTCTGAGACCTCTCCCGCTGTTCCCAGAGTTCTCTGGGAGAGCGCCACAAAGAGCTACGCTGGCGCATGTGTTTACTCACAGGGCTCTTCGGCGACCTCACAGACATGAAGTCTAAGGGGCATGAGGTCAGGGGACAACTTCTGAGACCCCCTTCTCTTCCCACCCTGTCTGGGTGGCGCCTCTGCCTGCCGACCTGCCCGGCCCACTCTCTTAGGACAGGGAACCCGGAACCCATGCCTCAGGCTGGCCAGGCTGGCCAAGGAGCCCACCCTCTGCCCGTCTCCACCTTCCCAGCACTGGGACTCCAAGCATGTGGTGGCAGACCCACGGGACCCATCAGGTGTCCACGCCTCCACCTCAGCTCTCAAGCTCCACTTCCCGAGTCTCCCAGAACTTAACAGTCCAGTTTCCTCCTTCTCGCACTCGGCCACAGGGCCTGTGGCTCAGGCTGGCCTCAAGCCCATGGCAATCGCCTGTCTCTGGCTTCACACTGCTGGGATCACACACATGAGCGACCGTACCCGGCCCTACGTACCCATTTTTCTAAGTGCCCCCTCGTATCTGCGGTCTTACACTCAGGCACGTAGAACGCCCAAACCATTTCCATGCATACACTCCTCGGAAGGAGGCCCGAGGCGCGTGTCAGCTTCCATGGGATTATGTCCAGGAATTTACTCCTGATGCCATTAGGACTGTGCCACGCGACAGGGGACTTTACAGCAGCCGCAGTTCCCGCTGTCCTGCGTGTACCTGCAGCTAACGGCTCCGCTAATCCCAGGCCTTCACCACTTCCATTGGCCCGGCGCCCTCTCAACGGCGGGGCGGGGCGGGGCGGGGCGGGGCTTGAACACGCCCACCCCAAGCCCCGCCCCGAACACGCCCACCCCAAGCCCCGCCCCGCCGGCACGCTCGCCTCTCCGCTCGCGGCGCCCCCTTACTTGCGGCGGCTGCTGATTGGCTCCCGGGCGCGGCGCCGCTCTGAGTGACAGGCGCGCGGCGTGGGCGGGGAAGGCCCTCCGTAGGCACCGGCCGAGGCGGTGGCGCCGGAAGGTCCGGGAGCGGGAGGGAGGCAGAAGAAGCCGCGGTCGGCTCTTCCGGAACTGGCCTCGGCGTCCCGGAAGCGCCCCGGGGAGGAAGAAGAGGCGGCGGCAGCGCACAGCGGAGCCAGCCCTAGTCCGCGCCGCCGGCCCTGCGCATGCGCCGCGCCAGACTGAGCATGCGTGGACGGGAGGGGCGCTCTCAGCGCGCATGCGGACTGCGGAGGGGCGCGGGAGTACGGTGCGGCCGGCAGGGCGCGTGCGCGTAGTTCCTCTGCTGGGCGTGGTGCTTGTCTGGGCCTCGCTCTGGAGACCCCGAGTTCGAGTCCCGGGTGTTCAGCAGTGGGACGCGTCGCGGAGCGTGCAGCGGGAGGGAGGCCGAGCGAATGCAGCGTTGCCCCAGCGCTGGCTGAGAGGCACGGTCTGAGGGCCCAGCTCAGCGGAGCGGCGTGTGCTCGCCGAGCAGCCTAACGCGAACACGCCTGCTGGCCTCCCTCCAGCCCGCCAAGCCCCACGCTTCAGGCTGGCTGAAGGTGACCGGCCGGGCATGGATTGTTCTGGACGAGCAGTGCTTAGTGCTCCCAGGTTCACGGAGTTACAGCAGGACGCGTGGCCTCTGGGTGTGTGCACACACGGACAAGTGGGGCACGTACAGAGGGGTCCGTGGGAGGCAGTGCTTGGCCCATCCCCGGGCCACAGGCGGATCTGGGGGCCTCAGGTTTGGCAGCAAGCAGCTTGACCCAGCGGGCCCTCACTGGCCCTTGAGTTAAGGTTTTACTCTATCTCTGTCTGTCTGTCTCTATCATCTATCTATCTATGTCTATCGCTATCTGTCTGACTGTCTCTGTCTATCTGTCTGTCTGTCTCTGGGTAGGGCACTGGGGACTAACCCTCAACAGGTTTTGGTATGCACCCTACCACTGAGCTAGGGCCCAGCCCCCTTTTACAGTTTTTAAAGATTTATTTTTCTTTTATGTGTGAGTGCTGTGTAATATGTCTGTGTACCATGTGCATGCTTGTTCTTTCTGAGGCCAGAAGAGGGCGTTGGATTTCCTGGAACTAGAGGAACAGAGGGTTGCGAGCCGCCATGTGGGTGCTGGGAATTGAACCCCTGTCCTCTGCAAGAGCAGCCACTGACAGTGACTGCGGGACCATCTCTCCTGCCCATATTTTATTTTTGAGACCGTGTCTCTCTCCTTGAACTCACTCCATAAGAGACCGTTACCAGCCTTCACAGACACAGAACATACATGCAGACAAACACACACGTGCACATTAAATGAACACAGACATATATGTGTATGTATATACACACAGAGAGAAGGAGAGCGGGAGGAGACTCCAAGTCAGCTTCTGGCCCCACGTGTACCGTGTGAGCACGCTTCCCAGCACCCACACGGCAGAGTGGTGGGGAGCGCCTGCCTGTGGGCCACAAGGGGTTGGGAGGGCGGCTTCGCTTCCCTCTGCTTTCCTCCCGCCCGCCTTAACAGATGCACAAGGATGAGAGAGAGGACGGGAGGGCCCGAAGGCTTTGTGGCTTCCAAGCTTGGCTCGGAGTTCGAGGCCAGCCTGCTCTACAAAGTGAGTCCAGGACAGCCAGGCTACACAGAGACACCCTGGAAACAAAACGTCAGTGGCAGAGCCCAGAGGGTTGCCGTAGGGTGAGGCTTGAGTAGAGCCTTAACACGTGAGGAAATGAGTCTTTGGAAGCTCCAGAAGTGCCATACAGGGTGGGAGTGGGCCCGGGACAGGAAGAAACACATTTGATTTCGGTTTCCCAGGTGTGGGCCTGGCAGCAGGTGTGGAGAGGGGCTTCCCAGCATGCAAAGCAGTGTGAGCTGTGTGTGTTCCCTAGCCAGCTCTGTTCCGACGTGGTCAGTGGGATAGCCGCAGCAGCCCACAGATGAGGAGCTTCTGCTCCTGAGAGTGTGTGTGTCCCCGTGCTCCAGTTACAAGCCTCGGGTCACATCCCCACAGAAGTCAGGGAATGCTGTGTACTAGTTTCTCGTGGAGTGAGCGTGAGCACCATAGAGCCGGCCGTGCTCTGGGGCCCACTGTTCCCAGGGGCCGTGGCAGGCATCCTGAAGTTCTCAGAACCTTGTCTGTTTTGTTTTGTTGGCTTTCTGAGACAGCCTCACTATGGAGCCCAGACTGGCCTGAAGCGCAAGGCAATCCTACCTTAGTGCTGGGATTTCAGGTGTGCAACACCGTGCCTTTAAATTTACTCTCATTACATTTATTTATGTATTTATTTACTTATGTGTTTACTGTGTATGTGTGCAGGTCAGAGGACAACATTCAGGTTCTCCTCTTCCAGGGTTGGGCCTGGGGTTTGAACTCTCGTCCTCAGGCTTGGCAGCAGGAGCCTTTACCTGCTGAGCCATGCCTCCAGCGCCCCCTTCTGGGCATTAAGGGGGAGCATTACGCAGGCGGACTGAATGGCATCGCCGCAGGGCTGCTCAGCCTGGCCTCTGACCGTCCCTGAGACTTGGACCGGCCTGGAGGTGGCCAGAGGGACCTCCTCTGAGGGACAAGAGGAAGGGGCTGGGGCAGGAGTGTTTAGGAACGAGGCTTTCTTTTTCAACGGCTCGATTTACCTTTGAGTACCTACCATGTGGCCCCCGGGTAGGGAATGCGGAGCAGGGGTGGGTGTGAGGGTGTGGAGGTCGGAGGAAGCACCAGAACTCCTGTTTCTCCACCTGCGATCGGCAGGGACAAAGCCGGGCCGTCGTGCTTGGCGGCAGATGTCTCTCTGCCCAGAAACGGCCTTCCTCAGCCGTGGTTAGGACTGGTGACACCCGCTGCAGTGGGAAGCCGCTGGAAGGCCTTGTCCAGGCCTAGCCTGTCCTGACGTGGTGTCGTCACTGTTACTGTTTCCTAGTGGTTTCCTGGGGGGTAAAGGCGAGAGCCACGTGTGAGTCAGGGCTGACGGGGACTTCGGAATGCAGCGTGCTTCCCACATGGTGAGAGCCAGGCACAAAGGTGAACACTGCCTGGTGCTTCACAGAGAAAGGCCGCAGAGACGCCAGTGCAGGCGGGGTACGAGGAAGCCGCCGGGCCTGCCTAGGCAAGATGCCCCAGATGAGGGGGAAGATAAGGAGTGGCTGCAGCGGGGATTGCTGGGCAGAGGTGAGGCAGCGGGAGGGGAGGCATGACTCAGGGTTTCAGCGGTCTCCGGGAGCAACCTGGGGCCACGGTGATAACCACATGGGGAATGCAAGAAGTTCGCTTGAAGAACCGTCGGGGTTCCCGCGCCGAGGACGGAGGTACCGAGGCCGTGCAGATGCTACGTAGCATGAGTTAGCCTTTCTGCGTGTGTGCGCACGCTAATAACATCGGGATGTAGGTGTTTGGCAAGCTCTTGGGGGGCTGGAGACGCTCGAGGCTGAGATCCAGCTGCTCCCTAGAGGAGCCGGCTCATTCCCAGCCCCACATCAGACAGCCGGAGCCTCCCAGGACTCCAGCAGGGAGAGCTGAGTCCTCTCGCCTCCAAACGGCTGTGAGTGGGACCCCCATAGATGTAGGCAGACAGACAGACATACACACAGATGGATATATATATTAAAGCTCTTGATGCAGGGCAGTCTTTGGAGACAGTCTCCTAACCCTGGCTGGCCTTGAACTTGTGGCCGGCCTCCCCTCCGAGTGCTGGCTTGACGTGTGCACCATCACACCTAGCACAGACACCAGTTCTGAGGGTTTGGCCTGCTTGACTGGATGAACGGTGCTCATAACTGGCCCAGGAGGACCGAGCTGAGCAAGCCCTGAGGCTGACAGAAAGGCCAGCCTGCTGCTGCAGTCCAGGCTGAGGCAGGAGGACCTCGAGAGAAGGCCAGCCTGGGCTACATGGTAAAAACATGCTAGGAGAGAGGTTGGGGCTGGAAGGTAACGTTTTTCTCTTCGTTAAATGGCTCTGAAGCACACACAAGGAATTATGGCACAGAGACCTCGTGGGCGCATCAGCCACTGGGAGCGCTGGGAATCAGGTCCGACAGTGGAGGGGCCGGTGTGGTCAGTCCCCAGCCAGCTCTGCAGAGTGGCCAGGGCACTTGCTCAGCCACCAGCTTGGCAGGGCCGAGGTCAGTGCTCGTCAGCACAGCAGGGAGGCAACAGTGCCTTCCCTTCTGGGCTAGTAAGTCGTAAGCCCCTGCCCCTTCCCAGTAATTACACAGGAGTGCTAAATGTCCATGCAGCTGATGTTTAAAATCCCGAAGCCCGCTGAGGTCATGTGGCTGAGGGGCTGGGGAAGACAAGTGAGGCTGAGCCTCTTGGGCTGGGGGATGTGGAAAGGAGCTGAATGCTGGAGAGCAGGGACATTAGGGACACCATGATGTGGAGCCACGAGAGCGAAGAGTGAACTCTTTGAGAGTGAAGAGGATACACTGGCGGTGAACCTGGAGAGCATGAGGAAGACGAGGACTGCTTTGTCTGTGTACAC